TGCTCCTGGCCTTTCACTCACGCAACCACATACATACAGGGGAAGCGATGAAGTAATTGGGAAGCTCTACCCTTTGTATGTGCTCAGAGTTTCCATGTCAGAGTGGGGATTCGAACCTGTATCTCTCAAATCCCAGTCCAACACCCTAACAATGACACCATACCATTGAATTCTAATCTGGGCATTTGCGCACAGGAGAGAAATGAGGCCAGTCATCTGGTGACAAGCTATACTTAGCCAAGGTACATCTGTCTAGTCTAATTTTTTCCCTCTTCTTTCTGCAGCTTTTTGGCCTAAGGATGGGGCCAGAGGTATAGCTAAAGACCTTTTGCTTGTTAGCTTGTGAGAATCAGATCTGAACCAGTTCAAATTAAATTTGGATGTTTTCCCTTTTTTCCCTCTATGCTATCGTGCATCCCTCCAGAGAGAAAAGTGGCCTGAGAATGCTTCTAAATATCAGTTGAGTTCTCTTGTGTGCTGTGGGTTTTGTCTCTGTTGCCACCATTTTCCTATTAGGTTCATCTGGTCCCTGGAGCTTGAGGACGAACTGATGGGACGCAGCTAGACACTCACAATTCCCTGAACGACAGAGTTCCTTTAAACAGAAAGCTGAATCACTAGGAAGAAACTAGCAGGTTTTCATCACCACAAACTGAGACTGCTTATTCTGAAATAGCTTGAAGATGAGTTCTCCTCCTAAAATCTTCCAGCTGAGCTCAGTTCTGTGGAGAGGGCTTCCCCCACTCCCTCATTTTTTCACCCTGAGGACACTCTTCAGATGCTGTTCTGAAGTAGAAATAGAATTTAGCATCTGAAGAACTATAAATTCAAGTTTCTCTACCTGGTAACAAGCTTCAAGGAGTTCAAAACATTCTCCTTCCTCCAACCCAGGTGAGTGTTTATACTAAAGGCCTTGCTTACTCCTAACACAGGGAGGGTGAAGGAGATCTTTGTGGAAGCCATTTTCAGAAGTCCAGTCCCCATCTGCTTCCCATGACTCTGCCTTACACTGAATTAGACCATCAGTCCATCAAGGTCAGTATAGTCTATTTGGAGTAGCAGTGGATCCCTGAGGTCTCAAGTATAAGTTTTTCACATCAACACTATCTCATCCTCTTAACTGGAGATGCTGGGGATTGAAACTAATACCTCCTGCATGCCAAGCGGAGGCCCTACCACTGAGCCACGGCCCCTCCCTGAGGATAAACACTCATGCGCATAACCGCATATCTCCAGATTATAAAAAAAGAACGACGTCCTGCATGCCTAGCGGATACCCTACCGCTGAGCCACGGCCCCTCCCTGAGGATAAACACTCATGCGCATAACCGCATATCTCCAGATTATAAAAAAAGAACGACGCGCCTTACAGCCGTGCCTCCAGGCCAACAGTGTGAATGCTCCCTTGCGCCTCCTCCCAATATGCTCCCGCATCAGTTGCTGCAGTGTGAACGGGAAAACCCGGAACAGTTTGTTCTGGGTCTTTTTTGCCACGGCTCCCTCCCGCTTCAAACTGCCTGTCTGAACTGAACCTGAGAATGTTGTATTAGAAGCTGGGAGGCCTAGGTTCAAATCACCACTCTGTCATGAAGTTCACAAGGTGACCTGAGGCCAGTCACATTTTTCTCAACCTAAATTACCTCACAGGGATCTTGTGAGGAGATAATGAGAACTATGTATGCCCCTCTTAAGTGGGGAGATATAAAAATATAACTGATTGATAGAGTCACACTGCAAATCCAGATCTACACCCTTCTAAATCCAAAGGCTTAGTAGGGTCTAACTGTGCTTAGAATGGCATTATAACCAAGCCATCCCATCCCAAGTCCACTGGCTTCGATGGAAAAGTGTAGCTTTGCGATTCTATGCAGACTTTCTCCAGTCTAAATCCACAGGAGTCAATAGGCCCCATGTGGATTAACTCTGTATAGCACTGTACAGCCAGTGCTATAAACAGTGAGAGCAGTCACTATACCCAGTTCTGATATTCTTTTGAAACCAAGAATTTAGAAATTCTCTCTTAAAGAGAATGGATTGATTGATGGTTAATGAAAACGTCAGAAGGACTGATCAGGCATTTCACCGTTTGCATATAATTAGGTCTTGTTTCATTAGTGACAAATGATAAGTTACATTAGAGCAGCTCCCTTTCTTTTTCAAGACACAGAATTGCTCTTGTAAAATTCTATTCATGGCTGCAATCATTTAGTCTAACTAACGGATGCAGCCGGCTCCCGGAGCAATCTTTGCGCTCGTAGCTAATATCCAGTACTCATGGATATTTCCAGACACAGAAACAATGCACAGGAGTTAAGTGCACAAAACGTAGTCTGAGAGTGATATGCTGGTTTTACTTCAGAAGGATGCTGAAAAGAATACCGGTAAGAAGGAGTGAGTCAGAAATCATTTCAGTGACATATGTTCTGAGCTTCCCATAGGCACTCAGGCAATATTAATGCAAGGCCTCATAACATCAGCTATACAGTCTTGGACATATGCATTTGGTCCTCTCCTATAAATGTATCATGCATCAACAGTGTCCTTTGGCTCTCTACAAACAGGACAGTTGCAACAGAAAATAATACATGCCCATGGATCTGACATTAAAAATTACCATATCTGGAGAAATGGGGGGGGGGGCATTTGAATCTTCCCGGGTGTCCTGTTGTTGATCTACTACTCTCCTATGAAAGGAAATGCAAAGGGAGAATCTGACACAAGAGTGCTGAATGAGGTTCCTTCATCTCTTCCCCGGCCTTGAACAAGAGCTTGGGTGTTCTCACTCTAGGAGGAAGGTTCTAATACCTGAGCTAGTGTGAACTGATAACCAAAGAGAAATCAATCTATTCAGAGTGGGTGAAGAATGTTGGAGACGAACAGAGTAGGATTAACATAAAATCAGATAACATCAAGGAAGACACAGGATATAACATAACAGGCAGAATTAACTAGCATCTGTAAAAGACCAGACTGTGATAATACCTACCCTCCCAGGTGTCAAGTTTGTTGTGCTTGTCATGTTTCACCTTGCGCCTTTTTTTATTTCATCTGATTTTATGTTACTTCTGCTCTGCCTGTCTTCAACAATTAGCAGTGGTCCTCATTAGCCTTTTCTTCTACTCAGTCTTCTTAGGAAGAGCAAATTCTCTCCTTGTACAATGGGCTCAACTAACCATGAACAGGGAGCACTTGAAAAGTTTGATTGTGCATTATGTATGTATAGATCATGTGTCTGTTTCAATTATCATCAAGCCCATATAACTGGTTTATGAAAAAGATTGCCCTGACTTGGATAGTCCAAGCTGCCCAGATCTCATCAGATCTCTGACGCTAAAGCAGAGTCAACTCTGGGTAGAATTTGAATGGGAGACCACCAATGAACCCCTGACCCCTGAACCCCAGTTGTTATGCAGAGGCAGGCCATGGGAAATGACCTCTGTTTGTTTTGTGACTTGAAAACTCTATGTGGTTGGCATAAGTGGTTCACTGTGACTTGGTGGCACTTTTTACAGCATGAAACTGATTATCACTCCATAAACTCTGTAATTACTTATGTCTATGTTATGCAGAGTTAGCTAGAGCATCAGACAGCACCTGAGCATGTAAGAAGGAACTGTTTGAGTTTGCAAAGTCAAGTTTATTTCAATTGTTGCCATGCAAGAATACAGAAATTTCTTTATACGGAGGGTAAGAAAGAAAAATTAGTTCAAACTTTGCAGCGCAAAGAACCCAATATGCATTATGTAATATCATTCAAAAACATCCAAGAATACATACACACAATATGATATCAAAAGATTTATGAAACCTTTCCCCATCCTACCATAATTAATAGTTACATTATATCATCTGCAACCTGGAAATCACAGAGGTATTGGTGGGAGAGAACAATAAGTAAGTTAAGCAATGTGGGGAGGGAGCGAGGGAAATATATAGGGATAGGTTTGATAAATATTAGATATTCAGTCGTATAATTCAGGTTTTTCAATGATTTCACAGAATTTATATTAGTTTCTTTGTCTCCATATCATATATTGTATATCATATATAATCTATATCATATATTCCAGCTATTCAGGCATGCCTATGACTAAGAGAAGTCTTACTTTAATAAAATTTGAAAACCTGAACAAGTAAAGAGACAAGCAAACTCACATATTTCCTTTGTAACTTTAGGCTGTGATCAGACATGCAGTTTGAGCCATTGCTGTTGCTGTTCCCTTACAGATTTAAAATGTACAATCAGACAGCAAGATCTGTCTGTCGTGCCCCAGATGTCTGCATCCCATTCCTCCCCCCCTTTACTGTGTATTTCTTTGATACCTGTGAAAGTCCAGTCCTGTTGGTCTGAGCTGGTTCTAAAATGGATTTGTCTGATCACTCTAGTGTGCACCCAAGACACCAGGGAGGTCTAACCGGTCTCTCGATTTCCAGCCACCATTTTTTTCACTAGTTAGCGATGTGTGCATAACTGCATATTCACCTCTCCCACAGAGGCTGCTCAAAACTTTGGTTTCTTTATTAAAACTTTCAAAGAAAGCTGCCTCTGTACTTCAGCTGTTTTCTGTGCTTTGGGGGAGGGGTTAATTGAAAAGTTTAGTGATGGAGGGCAGTGAATTGCATATCCCAGCAGGCTCATCAGCACTTGTGTGCATGCTCAAAGGACAAACTTTTTTTAAAAAAATGGCTGACGGCAACACTCCGAGGCTAATGCATCTGATTGACCAAGGATGAGGGGAAAGTGCTTTGAAGAGTGCTGAAAGGGGTGAGTCTGATCAGTATGTTCTATTAGAAGTGGCATAACAGCGGATCGAACTGCATGTCTGACCACAGCCAAATTCTTCTTGTGACTTGGTCTGACACAAGCTAGACTTATGACTGTTAACCAGTGAATGTTCTTTTTGTTCTTCAACTACCCATTTTCTCAAATTGACAGCCTAGACATTAAAGCAGTCTCCTCACGCAATCCCTTGCCCAGTGGAGAAGATGCAAAGCAGATGATGAACAACAACAGTGAAACGGTGGTAACTGAGTTCATTTTGCTTGGCCTCTCAAACCATCCTGTAGCTCAGACCATCTTCTTCTGGATTGTTCTGGTAATCTACCTCATCGGCTTGCTGGGGAATGGCCTGATGATTATACTGATCATTACCAACTGTCACCTCCATACCCCCATGTACTTTTTCCTCAGTAACCTCTCCTTCCTAGACATTTGCTACACCACCACCAGTGCCCCCCAGGCCTTGGTTACCTGCACCACAGAGAGAACTAAGATTTCCTACATGGCCTGCATGGCCCAGGTACACATTGGCCTGTATCTAGGAACCACAGAGTATATCCTCCTCGCTGTCATGGCATATGACCGCTTTGTGGCCATATGCAGCCCCTTACATTACACCGTGATCATGAGGTGGAGAGTTTGTGTCCAAATGGCCATTGGAACTTGGGGCACTGGCTTTATCCTGACCCTCATCTTTACGGTCACAGGCCCTAAACGGTTCTGTGGCTCTGTCATCAACCACTTCACTTGTGAGCCCCAAACAGTTGGCAAGCTGATCTGTGGTGACAATCACTTAAACAATATTGTTTCTTTTATCAACACGGCAGTGCTCCTAATTGTGCCATTTACTTTTATCTTGGTGACATATTTCCGCATTGGCCTGGCAGTTTGGCGGATTCGTTCTGACCAGGGCTGGAGCAAGGCTTTTTCTACCTGTAGCTCTCACCTTGCTGTTATTGCCATCTTCTATGGTTCATCCATGGCCATGTACTTGCAACCAAAATCCAAAAATACCTCTGAGAGAGACAAGATGGTCTCTGTTCTCTATGGAGCTGTGACTCCCATGCTCAACCCCCTGATATATAGTTTGAGGAACAAGGACGTGAAACGGGCACTGCAGAAACTCTTTGGGGGAAAGAGATCCAGATATTAAATGGACTTATTCACCTTCTGCCACCATCTTTCTTCCTTCATTTCTTTAACATTTTACTTCTCTTTCATACTGGACAGGGCTAAAATGCTGACTGATGCCGTCCTGACTTTTTAAAAATTGTTTTCATGACTTGATTTGCTATTGAAGGGGAAAGGGGAATATTTGTTATTGTTGGTATTATTCATGTTGATATCAGTGTGCTCTGGTGACTAACATGTCAGCTAAATCTTTGAAGACCCAGGTTCAAATAAGATGCCATAATATTGCTGTTTTACTTTAGGGTCAGTCAGTCTCTCTCAGCCTAACCAGCTTCACAGAGCTGTTCTGGGGATAAAGTGAAGGTGGAGCTAATTATGTTGGCCACCTTGAGCTCCTAGCAGCATGGACCAAGTGTGGTGCTGTACTTAAGAACAGCAGGCTCTAATCTGGAGAACCAGCTGATTCCTCACTCCTCCTCCACGTGAAGACTGGAGGGTGACCTTGGGCCATGCCCAGTTCTCTCAATACTCTCTCAGCCCCACCTGCCTCACAGGGTGCCTGTTGTGGGGACAGGAAGGGAAGGTGATTGTCAGCCATATTGAGAATTGTTATGGTAAAGTAGTGTTTAAGAAAGAACAATTCTTCTTTAGCAGAAAGGGCAGGATTGTTTGTTTCTGTCACGGCAGGGCCAGGGGGCGTGACGCAAGTAAGCAAAAGTCCAGGAACAGTCCGAGGTCAAGCCGGGCAAATCAGGTAGCAAGGTTAGGGCGTGCGACTCACGCTTTCTTCTGGCCCCAGCCACGTCCTTCCAGCTCCGCTGCGCCAGCGCTCGACGTCATCACGCACCCGTCTTGACGGTCGCTTGGATGTCTCTTTCCTGACCACCAGGGATTGCTCCGCTGGTCATAGTAGCTTGCTGCCACCGCCGCCATCTCGCCAGTGTCTCGCCACGCCACCTCCGACTTTCTGGTGCCAATGTCTCGCCGACTAGGCAGGGTGCCCCCCACCCTACTAAGGGTGGGTATCCATTTATCTACTTGCAATTAATTGCTTTCAAACCGCTGGGTGGTTCGAACCACTGGGTGGTTCTCTCAATACTCTCTCAGCCCCACCTGCCTCACAAGGTGCCTGTTGTCGGGACAGGAAGAGAAGGTGATTGTCAGCCATATTGAGACTTGTTATGGTAAAGTGGTGTATAAGAAAGAACTCTTCTTTAGCAGAAAGGGCAGGATTGTTTGTTTGTTTCTTAATGTGATATGCTATCAGACTGGCTGCGCTTATGTGTAACATATTTTGTATCCTTCTCTTTTCCTCTATGGATTTTCCTAAAAAAAAAACCCCGAAGGCTCTGCATTTGTGCCTGGACAAAAACTGATTATTGTAAGGGGGGGAAATGCATTATTTACCTACTAAGTCTCCTCCCCCGCCCAATAGGCCTTGTCAAGAGATATGGCTGTTCGTGGGATGAAGCAAACACATAAGTGGTTTTGTCAGCACTATGGAATAGACTTTTCAATTGACCTGGAGACAAACCCTCTACCCCTTTAATATAGGCTGGATCAAATGTTATTAACCAGGTGGTGTCGTGATTTACCTCGATGCTGTGAAAAGCTTCAGTTGCCCGTTTCTATACGTTAAGCCTCTTTTAAAGAATTTTTTTTTCTTCAGGCCAGTTGGCAGATTTGCTGGAATTCTGCCTACACTGATCTTCCAGCTTTGTCTGTCAAAATTGACCCTCCCCCAGGTCATTCTTTGATCCTTCCTCTTCAATGGGCCTTCTTCTGGTGATTGTCAGCATTCCCATGAGCCCAGCACGTCCTGTGAATTACTGAGCAAACTATGGTGTCTCAATGTTCTTTGCCTGTCCTCTTCACAGGCAAGGTAGGTCTAGGAGATCCATGTTTGGAAGTTAATCCCCAGGTGTGTGCAGGCCTGACTTGTATTGGGACAACAGCGCACTAGGAAAAGGAGTTATGTCTTCCCACCTCCATGCTGGTTTTCTAACCTGAAATGAGCCAAAGAGCTGCTGTTTGCCTCACAGGAGAAACATAGCCCAGAAAAAGACATAAATTGCCCCAGTGGAGCTAATAGCCGCTCCCCAGGCCCTTTCAAGTTAGGAAAATGGCATGGGCAGAAGGCTTAATCCTCCTCTCCCCATATGCTATGGTCCAAATGTGGGAATCCGCATCCAAGTATGGAAAGCCATGTGTACATCTGATCCACAGGATCCATGGCAGGTTCTAAGCTACACAAGGGTTTTGTAACATATTCATTAAATCCCAACCAGTGGCCAGCAAAAGGAGAAGACCAGAGGGAGACACCCCTTGGACTCACTTGAGTTTTGTACCTTTTGTGTTAACCACCTTGAGGGTGTTTGTTTTTTTTTAATTGAAAAGGGATGGTAGGATGAGCTTGGGCTGGAGCAGGAGAGAGAGAACTTTCACCTGCAAGTGAGTGGGAGAGAGATCCCCACAAGCTTTTGTCCTGAACAGTTCTACTCAACAGTAAGTTCCATTTGATTCAATGGGAAAGTGTTCTAAGGACTGCAGTTTTAGCTACCTGTCAGGTTCTTCATCCTCCCCATTTCTCTGCTTCTACTTTCCTGGCCCATCAGCCTGGAGAAGGAGATTATAAATGAACAAGATCCTACGCATAGGCTGCAATTGCATATGTAAAATGAGCTGTAAATGTTGCTTTGGGGCCCAGTTCAGTGTGCTGTTTCCTTACGTTTGTGATATAAGTAGGCATTCACATTAATAAGCCATCTCCCAGGCCATTCTGATCATCTTCAAAGGCCCTGCTTCAGATATCCCTGCCATCTGAGATTAGACGGGTGGCAACCTGAGCAAGGGCCTTCTCTATTGTGGCACTGAAACTTTGGAATTCCCTTCCCAAGGAAATTTGTCTGTCTCCCTCTACTACTGGTTTTTGCCAGCTGGTGAAGACCCTTTTTTGTTTTGATTGGCATCAGATGTGTCGTTCCAAAATTCCTGGTATGGGAACACAAATTTGGGATTCTTTGGCATTATGAAAAACCCTCCCCCCAAAAAAATCCATGTTGTTTTTTGTGTTTGGGTGCTTAGCAATACCATCAGCAGGAGGAACGGTCTTGTTTTTCTTTGATTCTCTGTATTTCCCAGGCAGTGGCATTTCTCCCTTCCAATCAGATCCTTGTGAGGGATCAGAATCATCCTTGGAGACAAGTCCCAGAGAAGGAAATTCCATGGAGGCGCCTGTGTTCAGCTGTGGGTGCTCACTATTCCATGTACAGCTCCAAATTTATGTGAATAGCTTCCCACTGGGGGTTCTTTAGAATAAAAAAAAGGGAGGTGGGACCACCTTCCTCCATTTGTGCTACCCCCATCAACAAAATCAGTTTCTATGGCTTCTAAAGCTGACATGTGTCTCTGGTCAAAGTGGAGAACCCAGAAAAAAATGGTAAACAAATATCATGTAGCTTAGCTCTCAGACTCTCATGTCCAGTTCTCCTACTGCCTTTGCCTCTTATTAAGTTAGAGGGGGGTAATATTCTGTGCAAAATTGTTGCCATTATCTTTAAAAACAGCTACCCCAGATCCTCAGATTGGTTCCCCATTGAACATAATGGTCCCTAAATTCCAGAACCTGGAAAAACAACAACATGGATTTGAATTCTGAACCAGTAATGTCCTACTTAAAAACTAACAATCAACAATCATTACAAAAAGTGGAATCCTGGATCCAAAATTATAATGATTTCTTTCTTGGCACACTCCCCTATTTGGCATACCCCGAATATTGTTACTGACCCTCCTCCCTGGTTTTGGTGACTACACTCAGTTCTCCCTTATATCTAGAATTAAAGTTTGTTGGTCTTAAAGGTACCATTGGACTCAAACTTTGTTCTGTTACTTCAGACCAACATGGCTACCCACCTGAATATATAAACACTTTTGTGACTTTAGTCACACTGCATGTACCGGGAGGAACAGGAGCACATACCCTGCATGCACCATGGTCCTGATCAGAATTGGAGCCCTACAACATTTGTAAGCAGAGGGAACTTCATCCTTAAAATGGCTGACATGTCTGCATGGTGGACGCATGTCTATCCACCAGTTTGGTGTAGTGGTTAAGTGTGCGGACTCTAATCTGGGAGAACCGGGTTTGATTCCCCACTTCTCCACTTGCACTTGGCTGGATGACCTTGGGAAAGCCGTAG